CCACCGAAATCGTGGGCCGCGTCGTGAGGAGGCCACATGCGGGCCCTGCCCCACCGCCCCACAGATCTCGAAAGGGGGGAGGTCTGGAGGCCGCCTCGCTCGGGAGGCCCCGAGCGCAGTGAACCCCGCCTCCCCCCTCAGAGATCGTGGGGTGGTGGGGCAAGGCTCGCGTGTGGCCTCCTGCTCCTCCTCCTCCTCCACACCCTCCTCCTCCTCCTCCTCCTCCTCCTCCTCCTCTTCCTCCTCATCATCATCACCCTCCTCCTCCTCCTGCTCCTGCTCCTCCTCCTCCGCCTCCTCCTCCTCCTCCTCCTCCTCCTCCTCCTCCTCCTCCTCCTCCTCCCCCCCCTCCTCCTCCTCCTCCTCCTCCTCCTCCTCCTCCTCCTCCTCCCAGGCGTCGCGATACCACGGGCGCTCGCTCGGCTTCGGGCCACGGGGAGCTCCTCCTCACTCCTCCACCTTCCCTACAGGGGGGGGCGCGCATCAAGAAACCATATACTTTTCGTACGGGTATCCTGGGTCTCTTCGCTCCTCGCGCTGCGCGGTGAGTTCCCGCAGCCGTTGAAGGAGCTGCTGCGTTCAGGGTGCGCCGCGCTCCCCCTCAGGTGCACCTCGCGCACTGATTCTCAGGGTTGGGTTTCTTGCGCGAGGGTTTCTTGCGGCCGCGCCCGCACTGTACCGCAAAGGCACGACGAGCGTTTCCTCTGCCTCGTCCTCCTCCGCAAAAAAAAGGCACGGCACGGAACTCCAGGCGGGGCTTCCCATGGTGGCGCGATGTGTTTCGCGGCATCGGAGTTCGGGAAGGGGGGGGGGCGGGGGGGGCACATCGGAGCACTGGACGCTGGAATAAGAAAGCCAAGGCTGCGGCGTCTGGTATGAACACTCGAGGTCGATTCCCCGGCCCTGGGGGTCGACCCCCTCTCGAGCTGCCCCGCCGGCTGACGAGCATCCTGTGGTCTCGCCCTGTGTGCGTGGGCGGGATGGACAGCGGGCCGAAACGCCCGCATGACGTAAAATGATGGCCTCTGTTGTGCCCTCCTTGTGGCCTGCGTATGTCAGTTTCTGGCGGGTGCCGCGTCTTACGCTTACATATTGTATATTGTAAGTTCAGGCAACGTGTTCCACTGTATCCCATGCGAGGTGGTGGGGGCAGGCTCGCAGTGCATCATCTGTGCAGATATTCATCTCCGTCTCTGTTCTTGTGGAGTGCTCAAGACGATTCGATACCGTCATCGCGAAGAAGAGTGTTTGGCGATCATGATTGCAGGGGCCCATCTTTTCCGAACTCGCGGGGTTCCAATGCCTCATGACTGCTCGAGCGCGAGATTGCCAATCTGAGATACACGCTTCGTTCAAGATCAGCCCTCGTTGAGGCTATCTTTTGCTGAGGGCACCGTCCTTATCTGGCACACCTCCCAGGGACTTCCTTGCACGGCTCGTTTTTCCCCAAGCGCCAGCCAGGAATCACAAGTACTTCTTCCTCCTGCTGATGTACTCCGCGATAGTCACCAATTTCATCACGTGGACAATGATCGAAACCGTCGACGAGGTCGTGGTGTCAGGACTCGACCGACCCCTCCCTGCTGCATGTTGAGCGCGCCGGGAGCGAGCAGCCACCCGCCGGGGACGTGGCAGAGGCGCCGGGCGGCAGGCGCCGGATCCTCGTGGAGTCGTGCGTGCGCGAGGCTGGCGCAGATGGCACACGGCGGTTTCTCGAATGGCTGTTGTGGAAGGGGCCCCAGGACACACAAGTAAATACACACAAGTACAAATCCCCATATTTTCCCATATTTTCTAGGCTTTTGTCTTCCCCCCCCCCCCACTTCCCATATTTTCCCATATTTTCTGGGGAATCGAGGATTAATGGTGTCTGTGTGTTTTTTCCTCTCCTGAGTTGCTCGGCCGTGAGGCCTTCGGTTCCCAATCCAACGGTTCCAGGGCACGCGTGCATCGGAGACTGGAACATGTGCATTCCCAGTGGCGGGCTGGTTTTGCGATCCCAGGTTTTTTGGGGGGTCGAGGGCGACGCTGGGGTGGTGTGGTGTATACTTTTTGCCCCGACGTCCCGGGGAAGCGACGAAAAATGTATACACCAGGATCCCGTATACACCAGAATCCGCGTTCCTGTGTGAATTTCGGCGCAGGGTCGGGAAAAGCGCCGGTGTATAGAGTTCGATTCACTGGTGTACTCAGTGTCGCTGTGTTTTGTACGGCTGGCCTGCACCGTGGGCGTCCGCTGTTCTGCGTCGGGGCTCGTAAGATCTGCCGCGTGCCCGTGGGTCTGCCAAGCCTGACTCGCACGCGTGCGAAACTCGTGTTCGAAGGCGGTTATCCAGCATCCTTCATTCTTCCTGCGAGGGCTCCTGTGGCCGAAGTCTGCACGCACACTGCCTCGTGCGAAGGCATCCACGTTGCGAGAACCGCGGTGCTCTTGCCCCCCATCGGGTACAGGTTCGACTCTGCCGGTTCGATCCGCGAGCGGAAGCAGACTTCGTGGCCGAGTAGGAGTAGTTGCTATATTAGTCACGCAGCGGACGTTCAGGGAGTTCTTCACGAACTGGTCAGAAGCTTGAGCCCCTAGTGGTGCTCCCAGGCAGAGTCGAGGCGTTGCGTCGAGTTGGGTCTGGCCCCTGCGAGGCTGCCATTTTGAAGTCGTCACCTCGCTGAGCCGAACGAATTCCAAGTCGGCCCCGCAATATTGCTGGGGTCTTCCTCCTTCTCCTCCTCCTCCTCCTCCTCCTCCTCCTCCTCCTCTGTCTTGGGTACCTGTTGGGAGCCTCTGGTGGCGCCTGGAGGCCCTCCGGAGCCCTCTGCGGTGCCCCTCGACACCGCCTCGGGGCAGTCTCAGGCTCGTCTTGGGCCTTTCTGACAGGGCTCAATTCGGTTCCTCCGATTGGATTCAATTCGATCTCGATGGATTCCGAATCCGATTCGATTCGACTTCGGATTCCGATTTGGGATCCAATTTCTTATTGGAGGCCTACTAGCCTGCCGATGTCTACCGATTCGACTTTTCCCGACTCGGCTGCCGATCTCCGCCGATCCGATTCATTTCGATCGCCGATCCGACTTATCGATCCGATTCTGGGCTCTCCTGCTCTAATGGCCTTCGTGGTCCCTTCTTAAGGTGTTTGCGGCCCGTTTGGAGTGCATTGCGACTTCGTTTTGCTTCGTCTTGGGACATGTTATGTGTTTCAATGTGTTTGGTTTGTGTGATGTTTCCCAAGGGGCGTTACAGGAAGCGCTTCTCTCGGCTCGTTGCCGCCGGCGCAACAGAGCAGGAGTGCGCTTGGCATGCTCCCGGCAGCACGGAGAGTGTATGAGGAACCCACTGCTTTTGTCGGTGCTTGCCGAGGAGATTCATTCGTTGCTATGTTTTTCGTCCTATTCGGCGAGACGCTTGCCGCCTTCCTGGCGCTGCTGGTGACGGTATTCTGGGGCTTCCACATCTGGTTGATGCTGAAGGGCATGACGACAATCGAGTTCTGCGAGAAGCAGTCCAAGGGCGGCGGGGCCGCGACGTACGACCTCGGCGCGTACGCCAACATCCAGGCGGTGCTCGGCGACTACGCGCTGCTGTGGTGCCTCCCGCTGTCGCCGCCCTCCGGCAGGGGGGTCAAGTTCGAGCGGCGGAATGTCGGGGGCAGCCAGGGGTGCCCCTGGCCCGAGGCGCCCCCAGTGATGGGCTCGCGTCCCACCACCGCCACCACAAGTCGGAGGGGGGAAGGGGGTGGAGGAGGAGGGGGAGGGGGAGGAGGAGGAGGAGGAGGAGGAGGAGGAGGAGGAGGAGGAGGAGGAGGAGGAGGGGAGGAGGAGGAGGAGGTGGAGGGGAGGGGGAGGAGGAGGAGGAGGAGGGAGGAGGAGGAGGAGGAGAGGAGGAGGAGGAGGAGGAGGAGGAGGAGGAGGAGGAGGAGGAGGTGGAGGAGGAGGAGGAGGAGGAGGAGGAGGAGGAGGAGGAGGAGGAGAGGAGGAAGGAGGAGGAGGAGGAGGAGGAGGAGGAGGAGGAGGAGGAGACCCCCCCTGCCCCTCCAACTCGTGGTGGTGGTGGTGGTGGTGGAAGACTTGCCCATCACTAGGGGAACAACAAGCGGCATAAACATAAAAACTCTGAGGTCCGCGCAGATTTCTCGGATCGGCGCTGGGGTCCCCCGGCGGCGCCTCCGGCGCCGCCCCTGGCGCGCTCCGCGCGCCAGGGAGGGGTTTCCAGCGCCGATCCGAGGAATCCCCGCGGACCTCCGAATTTTCATGCTCATGCCACTTCTTGTTCCCCCAATCCACTCAGGATTTGTTCTGCCAGGCGAGAGGCCCGCCCTTGGCCCCGCGGAGCGCCCGCGCGCCGCGAGGCGCCGCCATCTGGGCCCCACGGGGCCCGTGCACATGTGGGCGAGGCAGGGACAAAAGTCCGCGCCCGCGGCGCCCCGCGGCCCGTGCCGCGCCTCCGCGGGTGCGGGGCGCCTTTGTCTTAAGTCGGGCCTGTCCCTCCACAGGGGGGATTTTCGAGGAAAAGTAAAACATTCCCCTGAAATTGTCAAAACATAATCAAAAAATAGTCTGGGGACTATGTTTGGGATACTGTTTGTGTTTTGGGGGGCTTTTACATTAAGAAAATCGTCGAAAATCCCCCTGTAGGGGGACAGGCCCGACATAACCTTTGTCGTAGATGATAGGAAGCCGACCTCTATACACCGGCGCGTCTTCCGGCCCTGCATTGGAATTTGCACCGGCGAGCGGATCCCGGTGCCTACGGGACCCCCTGGTGGACACATTCTTCGTCGTTTCCCCGGGGCACCGGGGAACAGCGTATACACCACACCACCCCAGCGTCGCCCTCGACCCTCAAGAGGTCCTGGGATTGAAAAACAGCCCGCCACTGGTAATGCAAATCTGCACGCACGAAATGGGTACTGAAAGAACGGGTACAATGCCCAACAGCAGTTCCTGTTCATTTTGAACAGGACTCGCTGTCCGCGCCGCCGCGGCCTGTGACCGTTTGAGACAGAAGGCCGCCTGCCCAACAGCGGCCGCTGTTGGTTTGGGACAGCATTTGTTGTTGGGCATTGTGCCCATTTTTTCCGTACCCATGTCGGGCGTCCAAAGCATGGACGACCATCGCGACTGAGGTTTTTTCCGCATGTTTTTCGGCCTCGAGGGGGGCCCTCGCCCTCGCGGGGCCTACGGGGACCGTGAACAAAGACGGCTCGGGAGGGAGAGTTGGTTCTGGGGAGGGGGTCGAGACTTCTGGGCGCCCCGTATGGAAGAAATCACGGCAGCGGATCTTTTGGGAGCGTACACATGGTTAATCTCTAAGTATTCGAGAGCTCTTTGACTTTTCTGGGGGCCCAGATCCGTTCATTTCCAAGTGCTCTGTCCTGGGCCTCTTCCTTCTGCCACCAGGGGGCCCAGGAAGCATTAGAAACGAGCACAATTTGACGTGAGCACGATCAGAAATGAACGACTTTGTATCCTGCGACCGCGTATCGTGCGGGGATCGCGCCCAGGAGTCCAGGCCGCGAGGGCGCGGATGCGGGCCTGTGTTGGCCGCTCGCGGGAGGCTCCAAGAGAGCGAGGCGAGAGCTCCGGGAGGCGCCCTCGGGCCACGGGGGCACCCGGAGCACCCCCCGAGCGGAAGCTCTCGGCGGGGCGTGACCTGGAGGCCGGGCGTGGCGCCCGCAAGGTGTTCAGGACGAGCGGCCCAGCCTACGGAGCTCGACGGAGCAAAGACGTCATGCGCACCACCTCTCTGCGCTCCGTGCGGATTCCCCAGGGATCCAGCGCACTGAACAACAATCAAGACGGAGGTTTTTCGCATTTCTCGGCCTCGAGGGGCCCTCGCCGGGCCCGGGGACCGTCAATCAACGACTCAGGATGAAAAACCGGTCCTGGGGAACGGGTCGAGACTTCCGGGGACCCCGTATTGAAAAAATCACGACATCGGATCTCTGGGTCTTTTCGGGGGCGGCAAAGAGGGGGGTGATGACTGGGGGGGGGATATCATGGCGTGGGCCATGATATCTCCCCAGATTTCACGGCGCCTGTTCTTGTTCCATGACGTCCCTGGCCCCCCCGCTGGGCCGCGCACATGCCGCCGGTCATGATTTACACCCCCCCCCCTCTTGGACACCCCCCTCTCGGCCGCTCCCGATCCTTGGCTCGGCGCCCCCCCTGGTGACTTGGCATCGCTCGGACGTGTGCATTTTTTTTTCGGCGAGAGCTATCGAGGACCATCCTGGACCATCGAGCAAAAGAAACACGCGCGACACTGAAAAATGCGCGGGGAATGGACGTCCGAGCGACGACAAGGTGACGCTTCTGGCGCCGGAGGAGGAGGAGAAAGAGGAGGCAAAGGAGGAGGAGGAGGAGGAGGAGGAGGAGGAGGAGGGGAGGAGGAGGAGCAGGAGAGGAGGAGGAGGAGGAGGAGGAGGAGAGAGGAGGAGGAGGAGGAGGAGGAGGAGGAGGAGGAGGAGGGAGGAGAGGAGGAGGAGGAGGAGAGGAGGAGGAGGAGGAGCAGGAGGGGGAGGGGGAGGGGGAGGGGGAGGTGGAGGAGGGGGGGCACGCTCCGCGCTCCTCCGCGCCGCCCCTGGCGCTCCTCCGCGCTCCCGGACCCCCCCTTTGCCTGGCGCGCGGAGCGTGCCGAGGGGGGCTCGGGCGCCGACCCAAGGAGTCTGCGCAGAGCGCCGAGGAGGAGCAGGAGGAGGGAGCAGGGAGGAGGAAAAAGAGGGGAGGAGGAGGAGGAGGAGGAGGAGGAGGAGGAGGAGGAGGAGGAGGAGGAGGAGGAGGAGGAGGAGGATGAGGAGGCGGAGGAGGAGGGAGCAGGGAGGAGGAGGAGGAGGAGGAGGAGGAGGAGGAGGAGGAGGAGGAGGAGGAGGAGGAGAAGAAGGAGGAGGAGGAGGAGGAGGAGGAGGGAGCAGGGAGGAGGAGGAGGAGAAGGAGGATGAGGAGGAGGAGGAGGAGGAGGAGGAGGAGGAGGAGGAAGCAGGGAGCAGGGAGGAGGGGAGGAGGAGGAGGAGGAGGAGGAGGAGTGGAGGAGGAGGCGGGGAGGAGGAGGAGGCAGCAGGAGGAGGAGGAGCATGAGGAGGGAGCAGGGAGGAGGAGGAGGAGGAGGAGGAGAGGAGGAGGAGGAGGAGGGGCAGGGAGGAGGAGAAGGAGGAGCAGGAGGAGGAGGAGGAGGAGGAGGCGGAGGAGGAGGAGGAGGAGGAGGAGGGAGGAGGAGGAGCAGCAGGAAGAGGAGGAGGAGGAGGAGGAGGGAGCAGGGAGGAGGAGGCGGAGGAGGAGGAGGAGGAGGAGGAGGAGGAGGCGGAGGAGTTGGAGGAGGAGGAGGAGGAGGAGGAGGAGGAGGTGTGTGCAGTTTCTGCTGTGCCTCGAGGGGCCACGCCCACCTTCGGGCACATGCACGGGAGGCTCGAGGCCTGGCAGCCGGCCGAGTTCAAGGGCGCCTCCGGCCACGTGCCTCGCGATGTCCCCGGCGGGCCGCGGGCGGCGGGCTTTGAGAGGCTCCACTGATCGGGCGGCGAGGTCTGTGCACGTAGCAACCGCTCGTATAGGCAGGCCCGGGCCCATCCTGGGCCCCAGGAGTGGCGTGAATACGTCCCCTTTGGCCAGGCCAGGAAGGCATACATTCAGGAGGGGGGAAAAAACACACAGACACAATTCATCGTCGACTCCCCAGAAAATATAGGAAAATATGGGAAGTGGGGGGGGGGACAAAAACCCAGAAAATATGGGAAAATATGGAGGGTCTTTTTATTTGTGTGTATTTATGTGTGTGTGTGTGTCCCTGGGCTCCTTCATACATGCGTATGTGTGTATATCTATATATATATACACACACCCATGCAACCACCCTTGGGTTGTTAGGAGGTTGGGTGGGGAAAGAACCAACTGATCGCAACTGTGATGATTGATGGTGCTGATGCTATTAAGTCGGGCCTGTCCCCCTACAAGGGGATTTTCGACGAAAAATAAAAAATCTCCCAAACATGCTAAAAAATAGTCCAAAAATAGTCAGGGGACCACTGTTTGAGTATTTTTTGGCCTTCTGGGGGTATGAATTTGTTTTTTTAGTTTTCGTCAAAAATCCCACTGTAGGGGGACACGCCCGACATAATGACGCTTGTGATGCGCCCTCGAGTTGGCGTTGACACGTGATGGAGATGCTGCGTCGCGATACGATTTCTCCATCGCTATCACTTTCGACTTCACTATCGGCCCAACTCGATCGACCTCACCATCGATCAATCTCACCATCGATCTCACACAATCTTTCGATCGATCTCACTGAACCGACGGGACACCGACGGGAGCGGACACCGGCGGGACACCAACGGGACACCGAAGGGACACCGACGGGACCGACGGGACACCACGGCGGGACAACCCAGCCACCGCCCGCCCACCGGGGGAGGCTCGGACAACTGGCTTGCCCCCCCTAGCAACAGCGGAGTCATTCCTCTCGCCAGCCCACGCAGCTTCGCCTCGCCCGCACGCATGACACGAACCCAAAACCGAAACAGATTTCCTGCTTGGGGGCTCTCCGTTCCATTTCGACCTTGCCCCCAAACCTCCCATATATGTATACATATATTATAGTGTTATGCACTTGCTTATGTACATGCATATGTATACGCATACCTACACGAACACCCCTCGGGTGATCAGGAGGTTGTGGGGGGAGAGGGGGCGGAACCAACATCTGATTCAATCGATCTCACTATCGATTTCACTCAACGGGACACCACGGGACACTTGTCGATCTCACTATCGATCTCATTATCGATCTCACTCAACGGGACACCACGGGACACCGCGGGACATCTCTCGATCTCGTTTTCGGTCACTTTATCGACCTCACTATCGATCTCAGTCAACGGGACACCATAGGACACCACGGGACTCCACGGGACACCTCGGGACACCACATCGATCTCATTAGCGATCTCACTATCGATCTCACTATAGAGCTCACTTAACTGGACACCACGGGACAGCACGGGACACCTGTCGATCTCATTATCGATCTCACTATCGATCTCACTTAACTGGACACCACGAGGCACCACATCGATCTCACTACTGATCTCACTATCGATCTCACTCCACGGGACACCACGGGACACCACGGGACATCTCTCGATATCACTACCGATCTCACTATCTATCTCATTAACGATCTCACTTTCGATCTCACTCAACGGGACACCGTAGGACACCGCGGGAACCCACGGGACACCTCGGGACACCACATCGATCTCACTATCGACATCACTATCGATCTCACTCAACGGTGGCACCACGGGACACCACGGGACACCTGTCGATTTCACCATCGATCTCAATTTTTGGGACACCACGGGACACCTCGGGGCACCTCATCGATCTAATTTTCGATCTCACTCAACGGGACACCACGGGCCACCACGGGCCACCACGGGACGCCACGGGACACCGCTAGGGCCACCGCCAGACGAAGGAGAATCATTTGTTTCGACTTCGCCCTAGCAACGGCGGACACCACGGGACACCGCGGGACACCGCTAGGGCCACCGCTAGGGCCACCGCCGGACGCAGGATTATCATTTGTTTTGACTTCGCCCTAGCAACGGCGGGTTCATTCCTCTCGCGCGCCCACGCAGCTTCGCCTCGCCCGCACGCGCGACACGAACGAAACGAAACGATTTCCCGTTTGGGGGTCTCCGTTCCACTGCGATCTCACCCCCCAGCCTCCGATGTTTGCGAGTCTATAGATGCAGATGTACCTACGCGGACACCCTTCGGGTGAGAAGGAGGTTAGGGGGGAGGAACCAATGTCTCACTCAATCGATGGTTTTATCGATCTCACGATCGATCTCACTATCAATCTCACTATCGATGTCACGATCGAGTTTACCATCGATCTCATCATCGATCCCGTGGCCCGTGATGGTGACATTGAGCACTGTTTGGCGTCTCGGGTTCTCGGCGATCTAACACCCCACGTCTCACGATGGGCACCACCAGGAACCCATCGAGACACCATCGACACCACCAATTGGGACACCAATCGTGACACCGATGGGACACCGACGGGGCACCGACGGGACACCGACGGGGCACCGACAGGGCATCCACGGGACACCGACGGGACATGGACGGGACACCCACGGGACACCGATGAGACATTCGGCGCATCGGCTTCTCTACGATCTCACCCCCCAAGTCTCACTATCGATCGCACTAGCGATGGTAGAAGCAACCTGTCTATCATCGGGACACCACCTGGGCGCCATCGGAACACCACCAGGGCAACATGCAGACACCACAGCGACACCATTAGGACACCATCGATACACCACCAGGACACCATCAGTGCACCAATCGGGACACCAATCAGGACACCAATCGGGACACCGACGGGACACCGACGGGGCACCGACAGGACACCGACGGGACACCGACGGGAAATTTGGCGCATCGGCTTCTCTACGATCTCACCTCACAAGTCTCACTATCGATCTCACTAGCGATGGCGGAAACAACCTCTATACGATCGGGACACCACCGGGGCGTCATTGGAACACACCATGCAGACACCACAGTGACACCATCAGGACACCATCGGAAACCTTCTCGGGACACCTATCGAGACACAACCAGGACAACATCGAGACACCATCGAAACACCAATCTGGACATTATCGGGACACCAATCTGGACACCAATCGGGACACCAATCGGGTCACCGACGGGACACCAATCGGGACACCAATCGGGACACCGACGGGACACCGCCAGGACACCAACGGGATACCAATCGGGGCACCGACGGGACACGTGCCGTACCGAGGTGCGGAAGTGCGCGTGTGCACTGTCAGGTCTCGCTTGCTTGGGCGCCTCGCCAACCATTTATTGTGAGTGTGCCGTGTGCCCGCTTCGCTTCGCCGCCCTTGAAGCAGCTGTCTCGCGGGCCGCTCGCGAATCTCACGTGCTTCCGCTATCGCGGTTGCTCGTCTTGCCTCGCCGCTAGCCGCCCAGCTTGGCTCTGTCTCTCGTCGAGTTGTGCGCACTCGTCCGTTTCCCATCGCTCATGCAGTTCGATGTTCCTCTTTCGGCGCGCTCGGACATGTTGGCGTGGTATTCCCCTCCTCCCTCGCTCTCCGTCCTCCCTCAATCCGTCGCATCCTCCCTCGCTTGTCCTCCCTCCCCCCTTAATCATCAGCAGCAGCATCATCAGCATCAGCATCATCGTCGTCAGCATCATCATCATCATCATCATCATCATCATCATCATCATCATCATCATCATCATCATCATCATCATCATCATCATCATCACCATCATCATCATCATCATCATCATCATCATCATCATCATCATCATCATCATCATCATCATCATCATCATCATCATCATCATCATCATCATCATCATCATCATCATCATCATCATCATCATCGGCATCGGCATCGGCATCGGCATCGGCATGGGAATCGGCAGCGGCAGCGGGATCATCACCAGCATTATCACCAGCATCATCGTTCAAAGCATTGTCATCATTATCCTCCTCCTCCTCCTCCTCCTCCTCCTCCTCCTCCTCCTCTGCATCACCATCATCATCATCAGCAGCATCAAGATCATGGTCGTCGTCGTCCCCCCATCACTCAGAGACTCCTCTCTCCTCCTCCTAGCCCCATCCATCACTGCTCTCTCCGCTTCACTCCTTCCTTCACAATTCTCTTTACACCCTTCGTCATTCCTCCGCCCTCCTCCCACGCCTGCCCCACAAAATCTGGAGCGCTATCCGAGGAAACTCGTCACCCCCACAGAGCGAAAGGGGGTCTACGCCCTGCGGGCATCTCTGCCAGCATCCTGGGATTCAAGTCTTCAGACAGAGTCTCGGGAGCCAGCTAGGATCTAAGCGCGCGCGAAGCGCGCGTGGCTCTAGTGTCCATATAGGTATACAATATGTACATGTGCACGTAGGTATGGATGCATGCATGCAATTATCTATGCATGCATGTATGCATACATCTGCGCATCTAATGTCTGTGTGTATGTCGGTAGGTAGGTAGGTAGATAAACCAGTAGGTAGGTATGTGTGTAGCTATGTGTCTATATATGTATGTATACATTCATGTATGTAGGTACGTAGGTATGTGTATGTGCATGTATGTATGCATGCATAAGTAAATACATTCATTGATGCATGTGTGCATGTAGGCATGTGCGCATGCATGTATGTATGCATGCCGGTCTGCCTGTCTGTCTGAATGTCTGGCTGTATGCATGTATGTTGTTTTGTTTGTATGTACGCACGTATGTATGTATGCAGGTATGTATGCATGTGTGTATGTGTGTATGTGAATGTGTGTATGTATGTATTCATGCATGCATGCATGCATGCATGCATGCATGTATGTATGTATGTATGTATGTATGTATGTATGTATGTATGTGTGTACGTACGTAGGGTGTGTGTGTGTGTATGTATGTATGTATGTATGTATGTGTGCATGTCAGAGTGGGG